TCTTTTCTATAAAGAATTTGGTTGTAAATGTGTTTTAGTAGTGACAGTTCTTGCAGATAAATGCAAGATAAACCACATTTTGAAAAAAGAAATGTGCCCTAAGAACCACTAATAGGGTGAATATAAAGTCACATTCTTATCGTAACATTACAGTCTATTTCACATCGTAAAAGAGATATTACTTCTCCGAGGAGCGTAGAATTGTATTTGAAGAAGCTGGTTAACAACTCTAGTTTGTTGGAGTTTAAGAAGAAGGGAGCCAGCAGGTCAAGAGTTGACAGAAAAATTGTTTAGAATCTGTGTTGGATGGCAAAAACTAGTGCAAACATGTCTTGTGTGCAGTGGAGGAAGGTTCCCAGTTCACAGACTGGAAGCATTGATTGAATAGGAGGAACTTAAATCAGGATGACTAAGAGCATAGAGTAGGTCTTAAGCTCAGTGGCACTCACAGAGTAGGTCTTAAGCTCAGTGGCACTGGAATGAAAATAGAATTCAGTGCAGATGAAGGAGAGAAGCACAGCCAGTTATTTCCAAAAAGAGTTGTACTCTTAGTATACAGTTCAGCTAAGCGGTCTTCAACTCTCCATGTGGAAAATGTTCCTTTACTTTCCCTGACCTTAACTTTAAAAAGAAGAAGTCAGTGATACCACAGTCTCCTCAAATTTTGAGTACTTCATAACTAAGAGAAATTACATGCTAATAGAGAAATAGCTAAAAACCCTGTTATTTGTGTGTCCTTCAAATCAAGTGAAGACTGTTGACAATGTCTTTTTTTTTTCAAAATTTATTTTTATTCACTTTACATTTCTACCACAGGCCCATTTCCTTCTCTCCTCCCTGTCCCACCCTTACAAATCCCTCCTCCCATTTCCCCTTCCCTTTTCTCCAGGGGAGGGGAAGCTTACTTGCCCTGGGAAACCTGGCCCCAATAGGACTAAGCACATCCTCTCCCACTGAGACTGAACCAGGCAGTCCACGTAGGGGAAGGGGCTTCAGTGACAGGAAACAGAGTCAGAGACAGCATCCATTCCAATTGCTAGGGGACCCACATGAAGACCAAGCTGCACATCTGCTTCAAATGTGTATGGGGAGTGGGGGGTCTAGATCAGCCCCTGCATGTTCTTTGGTTGGAGGTTCAGAGTCTGTGAGCCCCATGGTCCCAGGCGAGTTGACTCTGTAGGCCTTCTTGTGGTGTCTTTGAGCCCTCTGGCTCAATTAGTAAACTGTGTTATGAGTCTTAGAACAGGAACCACTCCAGGCTTCCGTATGGTACTCTCAGATCCTAATGTGACAGACTCTAGACCAGACTTAAAAGAGGTCCTTTCGATTTTGGTGTATCCAGTTGTGTTTTTAGACGCTTCCCAACTTAGACATGTTTACATTATTTACGTTCCATGAAAGGCTTATGTGGGGTTGATTTAAATGAGAAAACATTTTGTTTTTTTTCTGTAACCCTTCAAAAAACTTTGTTTGTAGTATGCTTTTAGGAGAAATAGTTACTCCTCATTCATATTTCAGTTTTCTGTAGTCTAGCATACATAGCCACAAATATTTATGTAACTATCCAATTGTGTGATTCTTCCAGTATATAATATATGTATGTGTGTGTGTGTGTGTGTGTGTGTGTGTAAGTAGAAAAAGAAAAAAGCCTGTTAAAAAATTTTTAATGTAAAACATTTCTTACAGACAGAAACCATAGTATAGTTTACAAACTTCCGTGTATATAACTATTCTCCAATCAGACCAATTTCAAAGTGTTTAGAGTGTTACCTAATGCCTAGCTAGGTGGGTAGTTGCATGTTCACAAGTGACCACAACTCAGATCACAAATTAGTAGCTTGGAGTGGAGAGATGACTCAGTTATTCACCTCTCAGCACTAACCTGATACCCTCTGCAAGTACCAATATTCACATGTCTCTCTCTCTCTCTCTCTCTCTCTCTCTCTCTCTCTCTCTCTCTCTCCATATGTGTGTGTGTGTATTGCACGTGTACATGCGCATACACACACTTAAAAAAATAACTACATTTTTAATGATTACTGCAAGCAAATAGTTGCTATGAGCTCTAAGTGGGTGATCTGAATCCAGAATGTGCCTCAAAAATGTTTTGGTGGAGGGTAAGCATTTATAGGGTACTTGGTTTCACTAGTCTTTGGGCAAAGTATGTTGACTACCATAGCTTATTCCAGAAAAGTACCCTTTAAGGTGCTAGTCAAAGCGAATAAGAAATGTGAACATGGTCACATAGCTAATGTCCTAGTGAAGGTGAGTATTGCTGTAATAAAGCACAATAGTGAAAACAAACTGGAGACGAAAGGGTTCATTTGACTTATGCTTTCGCATCACAGTTCATCATCCAGGAAAGTCAGAGCAGGAACTGAAACCAGGCAGGAAGCTAAAGGCAGGAGCTGATGCAGAGGCACTGGAAGGATTCTGCCTACTGGCTTGCTCCTCGTGGGTTGTACAGTCTGCTTTCTTATAGAACTCAGGGCCATCAGCCCAGGGATGGCACCACCCACGACAGGCTAGGCTCTCCCGCATCAATCGCTGACTAAGAAAATACTTTACAGGCTTGCCTATAACCAATCCTATGGAGGCATTTACTCAATTGAGGCTCCCTCCTCTCTGCTGACTCTAGCTTGTCTCGAGTTTACACAAAACTAGCCAGCACAGCTACTTAGACTCTATTACAGAATATAAAGTAAGATCCATGCATTCTAACCCATGCACATACCTTTCATTCACTAATTCATTTCTCCTTCATTTAATCTATTACTTGCCAGAAGAGAAGTCACTCTGCAGCAGAGGAAAATGCAGGTAGATGCAGGAGTTGAAAGGCATTTGTGCAATGGGCGTGCCTTATGCATCGTCACATGTGACTGTATAAGGTGAACTGCAAGACATCCAGAGGCCTAGCTAGCTTTGTCTAGGTAACTAGGACCAACTTCTCTGCCATCTTTCTTGAGTCCATTTTGTGGAATTTCATATCCACAAGGGCTCTGTGAAGCACCTGTCTCCTCCAACCCTACTTGACAGAGGGGTCACCACAGGAAGAGATGTGAGCGCTGCTTTTCTTTTCCTCTTGCTTTTCCCTTTAGTTTCCTTATGTGCAGTGTGGTCCAAGCCGTATTCTGTTGGAACTCTTCTAAGAATTGCAGTTCTGAAAGCTTTGACTGTGGGAGGCATTATTTATAGACCTTTGTGGTTTTAAGAGGGGAAAAGCAGAGCTTCTAGGCTGAGTACTACTAGGAAGACTGCCTTCACTCCACTTTAGCCAAACACTGTCTTCACCAGTACATTCTCTTATAATGCCTTATAAAATGTTTCTCTTACAACATCACATTAAGAAACCTGCCAGTTTCTAAACCCAGGTCTTTCCTAGCCTACTATATAAAATCCGTGTATCTATTAACAGGAGATTATGTATTAGGCTTTTGGAAGGACATCTTAATAGGAACTGTTTGGCCTTAGTATCAGTGACCCATCTGCAAAGACTTCAGTACGCAAGGGGTTCTTTTCATAAGTCAGAGAAACCTGAGTCTCACTGCTCTTCGGAACCACGGCTTCTAACCCATGTTCCACGTTGACAGCTCCCCTTCTCAAGCTCTCTCACAGTACAGCCTCGCATCGCATTCTAAAGAAGTAGAAAGGGGGAATGTTAAAAGGAAAGGTTAAAAGGCCTCAAAATGAAACCAGCTCGTAATCATTGCAGAGCTCCCACATAACTTTGGCTCTCGTTGGCCAGATTTGGTCACGTGGCCACCCCAGCAGCAGAGGAGGTTGACAAGGGGGGGACCCCTTTAACCAAACATGTTACCTTCCTGTTCACCGTGGTATTATCGTACTAAGGAAGAAGAAAATGGACACTGTGTGGTGTCCATCCCTTGTACCACTTTCCCACACATGAGTCAAGCAAAACGTTCTGTGGGACTCCAAGGAAATGATGTTGGAAGTTAAAGAGAACATACTGGCAAGGGAGGCGCCAAATTAAGTGTGAAGGAAGTGCTGAAGAGGGGTAGATATCTACCTCTTTACAGTGGAAGGCCCCTCTGTACAAAGTACATCCACTTGTACCAAGGGGCTAAATTCCCTGTCCATGTACCACAGGAAGAGCATGAAAGAAGCAGACTATGGGATATGCAGTTTTAAACAACTATCTATTTTAAAATATGCAAGTAGCATTATGCTTCCTGAATTTTGACGGATTCTGAATACCCTTATGTTATTGGTAAAAACAAAATATATGAGAGTAAAAGCACAGGAAATATTAAAAATATATTTTTGCTCCTTTAAAAATATTTGCCAGAGAATCAAACCAACAGTGGTATACCTACAATAATGGCAGGAAGTTTATAATTGCCACACTGTGTGTCCTTCTGCCAACATGTGGTATGAAAGAACATGTGCTTGCTCTCATACAATCGTGAAGGTTAGAAATCTGTCATCAGCCCCAGTAAACGTGAGCTATTGATGGCTCTGTTTCCTCCACAGGCTGAGTCCCTGCCTTCTCCAGCCTTGGGTGGCTCTCCTGGCACAACTTCTCTCACTTCAGATAGCCCGTCTCTGATCCCACTGCCATTTACGTAACTCTCATCCTCCTGAATGCCCGTGGACCAAAGAGATTACACAGCCGACCAGACATTCCAGAAAGCTCACCCCGAGTCAGTTCCTAACTTGATCAAATCTTCAAGGACTTTCTTTCCAAGAATTAAAAGACATAGACACCTTGGAAGGCATAATTCACCTCTGTGCCTTGCAAAAGGAAATATTAGAAAGGCAAATTAATATCTAATCTCAACAGAAAGATTGCACTGAAGTCACACGGTTGATGTTTTGTCTAATCTAGAGTCAAAACAGAAAAAGCTCTCCACAAATGAGAGGGAAACTAATGATCAGCACTGTTAGTTGTTAGGTTACAGTTCAAAACTCTCCTCAGAAACCCTCTCTTCTGCCTGTGAAATCTCTGCCTTTTCTAATCATTCTTTTCAACTTTGTTTCAGAAAAACAAGACAGCAATGCAAAGATTGAAACTATGAAGTCTCTGGTAAAAAGTCTCCCTCCTCCAAATCATGACACCATGAAAATCCTCTTCAGACATCTAACCAAGTAAGTTATATGAGTTTTTTAGTATGTTGTATTATAGATGTTACCTAAATGAGGAACATTTATATTTCTGAGACAAAGGTTCTCCAGTGTGTCCATCAGAGATCTTTACTTTGAGCTAATCTCAAGTTTCCTTCAGAACCTGAAAATATACTCAGGATAGAAAAAAGAACCAAAAAGAGAACTTCTGAAGGTTTTTTATTTTTTTAACATGAAAACGTTTGCCGACTGACTTTTAGAACCATTACCAGGGCCCATTATGGGCCATGTCAACATTGCTATCTATATCATGGTATAAGCATGAAGAGATTCAGATAGGTGTTAAACTACAGCTCCACAATATGCCAAATCCAATGACCAAAGAGACATGACTTACAGTCTCTGAATTTCACTTTGATAAGGCATTATTCATATAGGCAGTTGGAGAGGAGTATCCCAGGAAAATGGCAAAATAAACATCCAGAGGCCCAAATTATCTTGATACTAATGAAAAGCAGAAAGCAGACAGAAAAGGCTAGCATCGATTAAGTAAGGAAGGTGGTCCCAGGAACTGAAGTCTTATCACATGGGTCCTTGTGGATTGAGACAGGCCTAGATTCTATTGTAAATACAAGGATGAGCCACCGAAGAGGCTAAACTGAGGCTCTGGGATGCTAGAGCGGTCGGTCGGGCAGGAGAGTGTGCGTGGGTGAGGGAACACTCTCATACAGGCAAAAGGGAGGGAGAGGGCAGATGTGGGATGAGGTGTTGTGGAGGGAGTAACCTGGAAGTGGGATATCATTTGAGATGTGAATGATTGGAATGATTAATTAAAAAAAAAAAGATTGCTCTGACTCCTGAATGGAGAAGAGACTACAAATGTGAAAGCAGGCATGCCATTGGCTGGAATCTCTAAAAAGCAGGCATGCCATTGGCTGGAATCTCTAGAAAGCAGGCATGCCATTGGCTGGAATCTCTAGAAGCTTAGGCAACACGAAGACAACTTTAGTGAGGTAGTTCTCAACTGGTGGGTCGGGACCCCTCAGGGAGTCAAATGACCTTTTCACAGGGATCGACTAAGACCACTGGAAAACACAGGTATTCACATTACAATTCATAACAGTAGCAGAATAAGTTATGAAGTAGCAATGAAATTAATTGTATGGTTGGGGGGGGTCATTACAATATGAGGAAGTGGATTAAAGAGTAAGCAGCATCAGGAAGGTTGAGAACCACCACCTTAGAGAGAAATGAATCAGGAAATCATACAAGTGGGTCACGCTGGGTGAGCTGTTGCTTGTGGTATGATGTGGAAAGGAAGGAGAAACGAGGGCTGCCACTTTGGGTTTCTGCTTAGGCAAGGTGAGAAATGATAGCATCGCGTACACGGATGGGCAAAGCAGGTTTGAGAGCCCCATTCTGTCCATGTTACATCTGAAACAACAGTTATTGCTTTCTATTTACACCTTTAGTACGGCACAATGTGACACACGCGGTGACATCTCAGCTCTCACTCTACATGCATAGCACCAGTGTCCTGGCTCACAGAACAGTCAACCAAAGCTGTGGGTTTTGCTGTGTGAGATTAAAGTTGCTTAATCACCCGAGTCACTATTTAGGATGAATAATTTCCAGAAACTAGTCAACTACTCCATTCAATTATTTTTAATTGTGAATGCAATACATGCAACTGCACACAAAATACATGAGTAAGGAGCAGTGATGAATATACATTAAAAAAGTGAAATGCCTCCCAGTCATTCTTAGCTTGCTGAGCAGAAGTAGCTAACGCTATCTTATGTACCCTTTCAGACCTGTTTCTAAGCACATGCAAACATATGTGTATGCTGATTCTGGTGCTACAGCACATAGCCCTGCACACATTATTCTGCATCTATTTGCAACCCAGGTATTGCCTTCGACTTCACTGAACAGACTCATCTTACAACTTTAATGATAATGCACCAAGTATGGTTAGGTCATAGCTTGCCAAAGTAGTCACAGCATTAGAGAACACAGAATAACCTAATGCATTGTGTTCATTGTTCTCTCAAAGTTCTGAACATCCATTAGTGTTAGAATGCAGGATAGAAAAATGGAAGATCTTGGCTCTTAAATGAATAGAAAAGAAAGGCTTAGAGCCAAATCCTTGCTCTATACACTGTTTCAGTTATGGCCTCAGACTATCTACAGCTAGATTAAATAATATACCATACCTGGTAGTCATGAGAATGAAATATGAGAATTAAATAATAGAATATAAATATAGAATGTCTAGCACAAGATTAACTATTCCTGATATGTTATTATTTTCCTCTCAATAGTTTTATCCAACATGAAAGGGGTTTTCAAGTTGCAGTTACAAACTAGAGTTCCTACTAATTCTGAGTGGACCAAGTCAAAAGACAAGTCAAAAATTACATTATTTAATATTAAGATATACCCGGTCTTAGAGCTCTTGAGAAATATCCATTACTTAATCTCAATTATTTCCCTTTTTTTTCAACTAAAAGGAAAATAAGAATAAGGTGAAGAGTAGAAATTTTAAAAAAGAAATGAATAAAATGAAGACACTAAAAATTGGCTAACTTCCTTCAGAAACACAGAATCTATATAGTTAGGATCAGGATTCTCTATGGCTAGGCACACAGTTCCTATATAAATCAGCATGTTCTGATATCTAAATGGGCTTCCTAATGTAGTTGGAGCTTTTGTTTGGTTCAGCAAAGCTGGAAATAGATACTTTAAATTAAGATTTTTAGATAAGATTATTGTATTACTTCAAAGCATTCACATTTTGAGATTTATCATCATGGGTGAGAAAAGAAATGTGTTATTCATCAGCCACCGACCTTTCTTGGGTGATGTGGCCATATCCCATCCAGCACCAATTTATAAGCTGAGCTTAATTATGCATACATGTGCATACACAATTATATCTTGTTGAATATTTTTTTAATTTTTGATAAACAGTTGTACCATGTCATCAAGGCTTGAGAGGACTAAATAGAAAGATTATTTAACTAGAATTTTAATATATCTATGTTTGAAAGAATCATTAGACTGTTCCTTATTCTTGGTGCATTTGGTAGTTCTTCATGTGTAGTGTTTATTACAAAACATGTGTGTGTTTCAAAGTTTAGTGAGATGGAGTAAACATGAATTTCCAAATTTGACTTGAACTCCATACTTCTATAGTCAACAGAGAAAAACTACAGTTTCTAGAACTGTGAGTTAAACTCCGCCCTCAAAGCAGAGAAGCTACCAACTGGGAAAGCTTGCTTCAGCACAGCTGGACCAGAAGATGGAGGGAAATCATCCTATAAAAGCCAGAACCTTTACAGGGATGTGATTATACCAAGCATAATCTTATTTAATGACTGTTTAGGCTAAAGAGTATCAGGGTCCAAATATCTCTCTCTCTCTCTCTCTCTCTCTCTCTCTCTCTCTCTCTCTCTCTGTGTGTGTGTGTGTGTGTGTGTGTGTGTGTGTGTGTGTGTTTATTCTCACAAAATAGAGGGAAGGATGTCTCCTTAAACAATATCAGAAATAGCTTTCACAGCTATGTAGCATTGCAATCTCAGGCTTCTCCCTATGGAGAACTACATGCTTCTAGAATACAGAGATGAGAGAAGCAAAAATTATGTGGATTCTTCATCTAAAGATCTTAAAATTGGGGCCAATTCCTGTCGTCAGAGCTGGAGAGAGAACACTCAGAATAAACAGTCATCTGAAAAATACTATCAGTCAAAACATTTACTAATGGCCACTTCTGTGAATTAACATTACAATGCTTGGACCAGGAAGGGCCTGTGACACCTTCTGAATCACCATGTAAGACCCAAGTGCTACCTCTGTAAAATATGTCACAGAAGACTAAAGATAAAGGTAATGGCGTAAAGGGTAGAAAAAAATGGCCAATTTACGAGTGAGTAGTAGCTGGGGAGCGTGGGCCAACTAAGGAGGTAAGTAAGAAATATTCTCACTAATGTGTCTATGACACACAAGTACATGACAGTCTTTGTGTAGAAGAGTCATCTGACAACTGAGGCTCAGCTGGCAGAGATTGGAGGAAAGAAACTCATGAAGCCATATTAATAGTTAATAGTTCGAGTTCAGAACTGGAATGAATTGGACCAAATCTTAAGGGAACAAAGAAAACAGGCTTTGGAGTCCGGCAAAATTAAAATACTCAGATTTATTTTGTGACTTACACTTAGAAAAGCAAAAGCAATCTCAGATTTTTTTTTCCGAGGGAGTAGTGCAAAAGAACACTTAATTCCCTACTCATGGATACATTATTCAGGGAAAGTAAAATTCTCTTAGAATTTAACAATAACTCGTAGAATTAGAGGCTCATACATGAAGTTCAATCTCAAGCCAAAGAAAGAAAGGAAGGAAGGAAGGAAGGAAGGAAGGAAGGAAGGAAGGAAGGAAGGAAGGAAGGAATTCAAACATGTCTGAAAATATCCTTACCAGAATATATTTGCTGGTAACTTTTAGGTGCAAATAAACATTATAAAAATTGTGCATTATAAAAGAGATTAAAGGGGAAGTTTAAAAATCTCCTAAGAAAGTTGTCCAGCTGTTCATGGGATTCCAAGGTGAAAAAAAAATGTTCTGAGTGAACAGGCCGATCTTATGGAAACACGCCAGGTGAATGCCGAGTTAAAAGGAGACTGTTGAGCTGTGGCTACTTTATGAGAGTGGGCTGATATTTAACGTCTCTGTGGTCTTCATAGATATTAAATAAAATATTCTGCAAAAGCACATCTGAGGTAACTTAAATGATGATGACCTAGGACTGGAAGGGTTGTGTATGGAAACCCTGGCGAGGAAGCACTGTATCCACCGTCTTTAGAACGGTACTGTGGACATTTCTGATATACAGTGGGGGTTAGATATGGTTAACCATGAACTTTAAAACCCTGGCGACCTCCTTCTCTCCTTCCTCTGGTCCTCAGGAGTGAGCAGTGGTAGCTCATTTCTGCCCATCCAGTCCTTGGGCTGCTCAGATTTGCTGT